ATGTCTAACCTCGCCGCATTTTTGCGCCTGTCCCAAGTCAGGAGCCTCTTGCCTTTGTTAGTCTTGTATGTTTTTTTATTTTAGTTCATTTATATGCTATGGAGTTTAGTGTGACGTCCATTTTCATTGAAGTGGTACACATTTTATTTAGGGACCAGCTGAAGCCCGCCTCCGGGTTTGGGATTTTCTCGCTGTGTTGAAGACCCATTGGTGTCCGTCGGCTGTTTTTTGCTCTTTGGTCGGGTTGTTGTCTCTGACACATTCCACATTTCTATTCTCAATTTTATTAGAAAAAAGTCCTTTATTCTATATTTATGCTCTCCATTTTTATGCAAAACCTTTTACATTTTGCTTTTTTCGGGTCATTGTTGAAGGTCGTACGGTGACGTATTGTTGTAAACACCTAGTTCATTTGGTTTCTGATGGAAATTTGTCCATTGGCAAACATACCAGATAATATTTTTTATATAGGTATTGGATATTTTACACCGTATTTTGATGGTCATGCAAAAGGATCGTCATCCCGCAAATCGTATGCATAATTTCTCATCTCAAAAGGGGGCAAGAGGGGTTCAATTAACAGGTCAATATCTTTTTTTATTTTGCTCAAATCAGAATACAGTAAATTTAAAATATTGATAACCGATAACAGCATTTTAAATCATCTTAAATGAGAAAACAGTGAATTAAAAAATCAAAAAACAGTAAACAGGGGTATTTTTTTTTTCATAATAACAGTTCATAACAATGTCAATTTTAAGAAAAAAGATAACAGCTAATTAGTCAACAACAGTTAACAGCTCATATATCTTCAAAATAACAGTTAACAAAAGTTTAAAAATGCCAAAACACCTCAACAGAATGATCTTGCACCCCCTCTCAAAAATTAAATAAAAAAAAAAGACTCAACTTGGCTCATATGAAATATCAACCAAATATATGCTAGGTATATTTTCTATCAATTATACAAATTTTCTACATCAATGATCTTGAATAATTGCCACTTTTTACTAAAATATAAAGGCACAGAACCAGGACATAGGTGCACAGAACCAGGACCGTTTTTCTAATCACCAGCACATCGTCAGGACAATTTCGTTTGGCGAATTTGCACGACTTTTTCAATAAAAAATCGTTGTAATATTCCTCGCATGGTACTTAGGAAGTATCAGAGAAAAATTAAGCAACAGAACGGTTGTTTAATGGCCGTTCTGGTACAATGTAAACAAACCAACCAGCACAGAATCAGGACCCACCAGCACCAGTCAGGACCGAATCACCAGCACAGAACATTCTCTCGCAGGACAACCTTACCCATCGTGATATAGAAAATAATGCTCCTTCCACTTGCGACTGTGAAGCATCTAGTTTTAGATATGTTCCCTATGGTCATGTCATTACAGGAGACCCCAACATCGTTGAAGACTGTGAGGTCAAAACTTTTCTTAAGATCGGACCTAAATATCGTCCTCCATCTATTATGGATTGGAAACAGTGTCGTCACGTCAGTAAAGACGCTCTGTCTGCCTACTGTAAAAATTGGTGTAAACGTGAAAAATCTGATAACAAATCTCTAGACAGTTATTTGAATAAAATTATGAATACTGTTGATATTCGTATATCTCATTTTGAAAACAATTCTGAAATTAATAATAGGGTTCATGATATACCCATTTCTAGAATAATAAATAAACACCAAGTACTCGCAAAGCGGTTTGTGTTCGTACCGGCAGATAAAGCAGCCAATAATGTAGTGGTGGTGTGACGCATATACTACACGGAAGTTCTCCAAAACGAAATTATCAATTCTTTTACATTCAGGTCCTTACGCCCCACAGAGAGGCAAATTGTAAACAAGCATATCACTGCCACTACCCAGCTAAAAGCCTCTTCCGAACATTTGAAAGTCCCGACTATGTACTGGTTACCTAAATTACACAAACAACCATTTAAATTTAGTTTCATCTCCGCATCTTGTAAGTGTTCTACTACTAATCTGTCAGTGCTTCTAACTACCTCCCTTACTACTATCAAAGAACTTATTACTGTAAATTCAGAAATTATTGCGATGTTTTTATTATTGCGAAAAATGCGACAGGGTTATAATCGCAATAATTTAAACTCGCATTTTGAAATTTTTTATATGAATTAAACAGGATTTTTCTCAAAATCGCAAAAATTAAAATCGCATTTTAGTCTAAAATGACAAAATCGCAATAATAAATGCACGCAATAATTTCTGAATTTACAGTATCAACATTTGTAATAAAGTTTATGAAAATAATGGTATTATTTATTTTTGTAGTGTTAAAAATTCCTTAGAGGTTTTAGATAAAATACGTGCTTTTGATGGTCCTTTGAATTCTGTTGACAGTTATGATTTTTCGACTCTCTACACTACACTTCCACACAATCGTATCAAGAAAAAGTTTTCATATTTAATTAAATGGTCTTTTGAAAAATCTAATTGCAAATTTATTTGCTGTAACTCGTTTAAATAGATACAAGAAGATGAGGTATGAGTGCCAATGAGACAACTCTCTATCCATGTCACAATTTATAAAATTAAACCATTATAGGTCAAAGTACGGCCTTCAACACGGAGCCTTTGCTCACGCCGAACAGCAAGCTATTAAGGGCCCCAAAAAATTACTAGTGTAAAACCATTCAAACGGGAAAACCAACGGTCTAATCTATATAAAAACGAGAAACGAGAAACACTTATGAACCACACCAACAAACGACAACTACTGAACATCAGATTCCTGACTTAGGAAAGTCTTTTTCTGTAACGAAAAAGGAGAGTATGCTAGATACACTTAATGGAAATGTGAAGATATGATTGAAGCTGTAAATTTTCTCCTGGACAACATATATGTACGTCTCGGCGATAATGTGTATCGACAGGTAGTAGGTATTCCTATGGGCACATAATTGCGCCCCTTTGATAGCAGATTTATTCCTGTGTTGCTATGAATCACAGTTTATGGCTAAACTCAGTAAAGACACGTCATTGTAACATTTGGTTGACACATTCAACAATACCTTCCGTTATCTTATTGATATTTTTTCGTTAAATAATCCAGAGTTCTCTAAATATACTACCGAAATTTACCCAAAGGAACTTACTTTAAACAATTCTAACATAAACAGCAGTAGTTGTATCTTTCTAGATTTAGACATTTCAATTTCTAAATGGAAACCCCATACTTAAGTTTACGACAAAAGAGACGATTTTTCATTCCCTTTTGTTAATTTTCCTTTTTTAGACGGCGATGTTCCATTGGCTCCATCATACGATGTTTATATATCCCAACTCGTTCGTTATGCCCGTGTGTGTAGTTATGTCGTAGATATTAACGAACGTAATCACTGCATCGCTGGTAGATTATTAAGTCAGGGATTTTATAAAATACTTAAAACATTTACTAAAATCTTTCATAGATTCAAGAATTGATTAGTAAATTTGGCTGTACCTGTAGAAAACTTATTAAAACGGTATTTCACATCCTTAATTTTACGGTAATATTGTACTAAAAGCGCGGTTATCTTTTTAATGTTGTAATAAGATCTTTGAATATTGTTTACATTGACACTAACATCGATTTTGTCATCAACAAATTAAAACATAACTAAATTTGTTTTCTTTTCGAATGGTTTTTGGAATGTAAAAATACACATCCACGTTAATTTTGTATTTAGAGATTGCTTTACCTATATATAACATGATACATATTTATTATAAGGTTATATCCTAACGATCCTACTGCCTGTCGATACTTTTATTTTGGTATTGCACAAGTCATGTCTTCTTTGACTGTCCCTGGCGTTAAAACACTAAATCCCTGGGATGTTTTTTATTTGATTTTAGTCTCTGATGCATGATTTTTTATTGTTAATTGTTTTTGGCTTTTAACTTGCTTTCAGTAACACGAGTACTCTCAAATCGTACTTTCGTGTTAAGTTGCCCTTTTGACACAATCTGTAATGCATTTCCGTAATTCAATGTTTACTTATTTTGTGTTATATCTCGTCTCACTATTTTTTATATGTACCACCTTTGATAAGTATTTAGTATGACGATAAATTTTCACTTCTGTACTCTACTCTGAACAACAACTGTACTAATTTTGTAAAAAATGTTTACTTTCGTACTCCTAACAACAAAATTATTATATTTAAATTTACCTGTGTACGTTGTTTTATTTAACGCCATTTTGTCCCAGATAAGAGTTGTCTTATTGACACCCTTCCTACATCTTTTTTATTACTACCTGTAACGTAAATGTTATATAGGCACCTACGTTTTAATATTGTATTTATATTGTATCATATATCAAACTTATTCGTTCAGTGTATGTTTACTTGTTTTTGTTCAAATGTCTTTTTGATCGAGTTAAGCCATTTCAATTGATATCTTATAGTGTGCCTTTTTATGTTGTTAATTATGTTACACTACTGTCTCAGGTTAGTGTGAAGGTTATCGCCTTTTAAAACGTTTAAACCCGCTGCATTTTATGCACCTGTATAAGATATCTTATAAATCTGAACAAGATATCTCATAAATTATTTGTTGAAAAATATCATTAAAAAGATATAAGATATGTTAAAAAGTATATGAGATTAAGTATATAAGATATCTTATAAAGTATATAAGATATCTTAAAAAGTATATATTATGTTATTTTTTCTGTTATTACATTATTTTTTTAAAATTTTTTCATAATTACCGATAAAAAGAATAAAGGACTTTTTGTTTTTGATACTGGCTTTATCACTGTAAAATATCAGGGTCGCTCTTCGGTTTACCTTATATTTTACAGTGATGAAGTTAGTATCAAAACAAAAAGTCCTTTATTCTACATTTACATTTTTCCATACATTACAATAAGAATATTTCAGTCATTTTGGATCACGAAGTTCGTGTTGATATATGCATTTTGAAGACAACGAATTCCATTTAATTGATTATGAATTATGCCATACGTATTTTTTTTCAGATTTTGACACTTTGCTGGTTGGTTAACATCAAGTATGATGTATTTGCATATGACCTAGACAACTGCCCTTCTTCAAGCCAATGGAAACTTCGGGCTAAAGCCATGTGCAATGCATCGCCGGAAAACTACTCATGCCTTTATGATCTTATACAGAACAAATACAAGGAATCATGTTCAGGGAAACCAGATTATGTTAAACCTGGTAAGAATACATTTTTGATTTAGTAACAGGTAGAGTTTTATTGGAGTACTAGTTTAAAAAGACGATTGCTTCCTTAAGATGAATCATACAGACGTTGCAATGTTTCTAAAGTTAATAAATGATTATTATATAGTGGCTAAGTGACATCATTTTGTTTATTAAACACAACCTCATACCGTCCCAAACAAGATAAATTAATAAGATAAAACAATTTATCATACCTCAGTGTGTATTTTCTATTTAAAATCAAATATTGGTAAAATGACCCTATGGACGATAGTTCACAGAATGCAAACATTTTCCCGAAATATTTTATTCCTCGGGTGTTTGTAGTTTTGACGTTCAGTTACTTTTAGATCAGATATTTACCAAAAAACGTTTTATCATAAGCCACATCTAATATTATACTGTTATCAAATGGTTGTTTTCATATTAATCCTGTTTTATATTAAAGTACAGTCGTATTGGGTGAACTGTATTGACTCGAGGCGAAGCCGAAAGCCAATACAGCTGAACGGGACCCAATACGACTGTACGAGGACAAAATACAAGAATGATATGAAACAACGCGTTTTCTGACACCTGTATTAACCAATGACTTAGAATAACTACCAAAAGATGACCGAGGATAATCACGAATGTAGCCGGAAGACTCGTACAGGATGAATATGAACGATTTGGATTAATTATAATTTTAATGCAAGGAATAAGGGATTACCCTTTAAATTAATAATGTGCGATGAATTACCCTTTTAATCAACGGTAAATAACCCTTAGAGCCTCTCGAATTTGAACCGATTTATCTCCAATCAAAATAACGTCACTGACATATGTAAACAAAACGGAAATTATAATTTTAATGCACGGAATGTCAAATTACCCTAAACAATAATGCGATGAATTATCCTTTTATTCATCGTTCAAAAAAACCTTTACACGAGTTATATCCAATCAAAATGACGTCACTGATTTATATAGACTGGAGTTACGAAGAAATAAGTATTTGAAATCGGTCTGGTGCCGAGGATAGCTTTCACAAACGGCCCTTTTCATGGCCACCAATATTTTAAAGAAAGAGTCTTCGTTTGTTGAACATATGAGGCATTTTAAGTCACAAAATAATTCTCTGACGTAAGTGTTTTGACAAATTATTTGTTGCTACAGTAAGCCGACTTTTACAAGAGCTCTTTTAACATGTATTTCTAATGGTTCGCAGGGCCCTTTGGTATTATTAAGCACATGTGGCCCATTCGAAACGGTGCATATCTAAGATTGTCAACCGTACAGATTTCCCTCACTTCTGACTGTGCCCTCAGAGAAATAATACTTGATGTAACATCTTTGCTGTGTATCAAAGGGAGGTTGATAAAAACAGAGTCAAAATAATTCCCTTCAAAGACAAACTGCTGAATATAATGCTTATTAAACAGCCCTTTGACATGATTCTTGACAATAATTGAACATTATTAATATTCATTATCTGAGCGCCTGTGTTACGGACGGAATAATATATACCTGCGTATACTACCAATGTCATCCAAATAGTTCGATGGATTATTACAGTCCCTAAGCAGTATATTGCTGCACAATTTATTAATACTGCTCCCTAAGTAAACATATATAGATGGCGGTCTTATTTGATTACAAATTAACCGTCATAAAAAATATCCTATGGGACCATCCTAAGACCATCTTAAGACACCTAAATAGCAGACATGGGGTAATTGAAATATGTAATTGTAATTGGCTGTAATTAATTACAATTTCTCAAGTAATTGAATGTAATGTGTAATTGATCATTTTTTCAATTACAAGTAATTGGAAGTAATGAATTACAAAGCCAAAATTGTCTGTAATTGACAATTACTTTTCAATTACAACTCAATTACATTTGAAATTTGGGATCAGAAAGATTGAATCTTGTGTTTTTCTCAAAAATTTATGAAAAGCCATGACCTTAGCAAATGTAGTTAGCTGACAAATCAAAGCCTACACAGTATACCTTCTGTAATTACACAACCATGGAAGATTCTTTATTTTGTAATGAATGAACAAAAAATTAAAAAAAAAAAAAATATTGTAGAAACATGCCATAATTTGTGTTTAAAAGAAACCATTAGTAAGTCACTGTCTTATACCTTAATTAGCTTGTTACCTACATGTATATTCAGATGGATATTGTTAGACATTGATTTAACATAATCAATTTGAAAGGTCATAAGTCAATCAATAATTATAGCCTCTGGCTATTTGTTTTATCATATAATGACTGTTTTTACAACAGTTATGTTTGCATGTTAAACAGGTGTTAAGCCAATTAGAGAGAGATAAATATACCCCTAGGTACATGATTTTTTTTAAATTAATTAATTGTGATTAAAACTACATTATATTTAAAAAAAAGTCAGACTTTCTAAATCATTTCTTTAGGAAAAATAATTTTTAATAAGTTGTGATCAAAATAAAAAAAAAATAAAATTTTATCTATAGGGCTCTCTTCTTGTATCATTTTCAATGAAATACATTAAAACATAAATTTCAATAGGTAATTAAACAAAATTTAATATTTTCCAAATATTGAATAAAGCTTTTTATCATTTTGAGCATTGAATTAAACCAGACATCTAGTCCTAACCATTCCTGATAGACAAAGTATTATGTGCACTTCAGATTTATGTTTGTTTTTTCTTTATTACCTTAACACACCAGATATTTAACTTTCCCTTTTTCCTTGATACTGGCTGAATTTGAAAATAGTCACTGTAGATCTCATTTGTTATAACTATAAAGCAATGTATGATAATTATGTACATATGATAGAATAAATGCATGTTCTAAATTTTCCTTTCAAAAGTAATTGAAGTAATTAATTACATTTGCCAAGTAATTGGAAAGTAATTAATTACATTGTCAAAAAAAGTCAAATGTAATGTGTAATTTAATTGAAGATTTTGTAATTGTAATTGAATGTAATTAATTACTTTCAAAAGTAATTGACCCCATGTCTGCTAAATAGATGTTGTTAGGACATGTCCTAGTCCTAAGAGGACTTCGAAAAAAAGGTCCCATGTGTTTAGTCTTAGTTTCTCGGTGTTTACCATTAATTCATACATCTGTTTAGTTAATATAATATAATATACAACGAATAACAGACATCAGTTATTGATGTTTAAAGACTGATATCTCAATTTCACTACTGTACCGTTCGTTGTTTATAGGCAGTGGCCATTCTTTTGCTAGCTATTTAGTGTGTTTTATTTGCATCTTTAAATTCTTCGATGGACGATAAGTATGCATTAATATTTCTTTCTATAACCCTTTTTTGTATATCAGGGGTCTGTTAATCGAAGCTGTTCTAGGATCGGTCCTAAGACCTAACTTAGGAATAAATTAGGACGGTGTTAGGACCGACTTACAACATGTCTCAGCACATGATGCACATCGAAGCAATCTTAGGACTATCTTTGCTAGGATGTCATAATTGCTGTTCTAAGTGTTAGCGTAAAGAAAAATAGGATTTGAGACATTTTAAATGCTCAAGAAAGCATCAAATTTCAACAGTAGTAAATAAGTATAAGTTTACAAATTAGAAATCGTAATAGTATTATTATAAAGATAAACAATATTTTTTATCTAATAATGGTAGAACATTATAAAACAAAAACACAAACATGTAACAACGGTTTTAATTAATTAAAACAACTTAGAGACAATCAGTAACAATCATAATATATTTTAGCGAGTTTAATTCGAAGTGTCACCGACCGTGCAAGACCCTCATGGATAGTCAAGGTCGTTAAAAATCACCCTCGTCATTTTATCACAGATCACAGGCGCTTGTGGAATGGGCCTCCTTTTCTAAATCTTTTTTTTATGTGTGTTTTAATCATTTCCAAATTTCTAAATTAGCATTCTTTAATATTTTAATCTATGTTCATTTATTTAATGTGAGCCATATATGATGCCCCTCTATTCTTATTTTCCACGTGGAAAATATGAATAGCGGGGCATCATATATATATTATTGGTTTTGTGATATCTTTTTTTGATAAGAGAAAGAACACTTTAAAATAAGTGAAAATAGGTTGAAATATTAAAGAATATAAATATTTACTTAGTAGAAATTAAAAAACAAGAAAAACAAAAGAAGTTTTAGAAAAAGGGAGATCTTTTCCCTAAGCGCCTGTGTTACGGACGGGATAATCTATACTTGCGTATAATATTAATGTCACTCAAATAGTTCAGTAGATTGGTTAAAACCATTGTCGTGACTTCAGCCTATTCATTTACCGCGGATTCTTTTTCTAGAATCAACGCTTCCTAAATCTGTTGCTGAAATGGACTCACCAAATTATATTCAATTATTTCCTTTGTACCTAATTTTATTACTGATTTCTGTTTACTAATGGAATCGATTTAAAAAACTTACCTTTTATTTTTGTTATTTTTATATGCCTTCACTGGGAATCGAACCTCTCTTTGCAATCTGTTATGTGTGACTAATATGAACACATCGACGAAACCTCTCGGCTACCAATAGGTTTCAATTACGATTTCTATTCTATACATTTAAATAAACATATGATACACATCGGTACAAAGGACACACACGTCTTGTACCTTTATATATACATAATAGCCAATCGTATAGTATAAGTTGGTAGCCACGAGTGTAGCATGGTTAAGATCAATGAGTTGAAGAGTCAATGTAAAGGTAGAAACTTGTCGGTTTAGGTTCGAAATCCTGTATTCTCTTTGTTGTCCCTATTCTTTAGTTTTTTCCGTTTTTCTTTTTTTGTATGCTACTGTTGATATTTTTGTAATAATAGCTAGTTTTCCCGTTTATTTTTGGATAATTATTGACTCTTACATATTTGAAACGATAATGATACATTCAATTTGTCCATTTTCGTTATGATTGCATCTGTCTTACAAATGTGTAATCGCAAATCCCCATGAGAGTAAATCGTGATGTGCCTATAATTGGGCTTCTTGCTAGA